CCCGGGATCTTGGGCACGCACGCACACGCGCCCGGCGTGAGTTTTAAGCCACCGGGTCCGGGACGCGAACCGCGGTTGACTATGTGGGAGTCCAGCGACATAGCCATTACGCTAACTGCTGGTTCCCCCCAGCAATTTTATTTTTAAGCAAAATCGTAACTACCAGACTTTGGATTTTGACCTATATAAAGTGACAGCTGGGTATTTTGACAATAAGGACTCCCAAATCCCAGTATTTCCATAGTTTCTTTTTTCATGCTATATGTCCTTCACAGTATGTTAAAAAACTTTATTAAAATTAAACTTCATTATATATGTAAATAATACCCAAAGTCATAGCACTAATCTCATGACAAGACTTAAGAGTCATTCTTGGTAGGGAATGAGCACCTTTTTCTAGAACAACATTGCCCTGTACTGTGGTGCTCATCTCCAGTACTAGCTGCCTTTTATACTTTACTTTCAAGTTCTTTTTGGAAACAACTGCATTCTCTGTGTCTAATTTTGTGCTCACACTTTGTTTGCTAAGTAGAAAGGTTTTTCCCGCATTAGGCTTGAGAGTTCTTCCATATTTTACCTCTTTAATATAAAGCCTTCTTTGCTCCTGGGTACAACTTCGAATAGAGTATCCCGTGTCAACTTGTACTATTCACCCTCGTTTTGAAGCTGAGAGTATACACTTTCTTAGTTGTAGTTAATACATGGGAATTGTTTCTAAATTAGTAAGTAAATTAAGATGAGACAGGGTTGAGTTTTTTTTTTTTTTTAATAGTTGTTTTTGTTATATTGTGTTTTAATATTCTGTACAATTATTTGAAACCAAAGGCTTTTTTTACTGGGTTTCTTTCCAAGCAGTGATTCTACTCTGAGTGTGAAGGACACAAGAAAGGATGAAAATGAGGAATGGAGTTCGACAAAATGTAGGGTTATACGAGTGCTGCAGGCTGATCCAAATTCTGCTGGCCGACCATGTGTGAATGCTGTCAGCAGATCACGTGAAGTAAATCCAGAAGGAGTAAGGTAAACATCTACAACTTCTTGATCTCCCTGTGACAAAAATGACCAATGGTGACCTTTTCCAGAAACACAGCAGAATAGTGTAGTCATCGGGTGAAACAAGAGAACACTCAACTGTTGATTCTATTGAAAAGTTGACACAAATAAGAACAAGTTCCTTGATAAGGAGCAGTTTCAGTAGTTTCTAGGAAAACCTGACTGTGAGTTAAGAATAGAATTCTCCTCTGAGAATCTTTAATAGTAAAGGTAAGGGAGAACTGGGTAATAAATTAAGAGCTTGGGATTCCAGCAAGTTTTCTTTATTTTTTTAATCTTAAAACAGATGATCTAGGTTACGTTTGTATGCTGTGGGAAATGATCCTATAGGTTTATTATGTTTACTTATTTTTAAGGTATAAGTATTAGAAGTCATGAAACATAATCTTTTAAAATTTTTACAATAAAATATTAATAATTTCTCTTTAAAGTTGCATTCATATAAACTTTCATGTCAAGAGGGCAGTCATTCAAAATTAGTTCAGAAATGAAATATCATAATTTATTTCAACATGTAAAGAATGACATAAAGTTAAACTATCATACATAGATTTTTTAAAATATGTAATTATAAACTTACACAATACAAACACACACACAAATACCAGGCTGAATAGTATTTTTTTTAGGTTTAGGAGCCAGCATGTGGTGTGGCAGTTAAAAGGCAATGGTGTAACATCTGGCCAACTTGGTTCAAGTCTCGGCCATGACATCTTTCTCTCACTTTCTCTCTCTTTCTCATCAAATTAGAATCAAATAATCATGATGATAATAAATGAACTGAAAAGGAAACAAAGGAACTTTATTTAGTTTGTTTTATCCTCTTAAGGGAACGTGTACTCTCCCGAGAGAGTGCAGTGTGAGGGGTGGATGTAAGAAAACACCTTTTGGGTTGATGGCCATGCAACAATTTCATCTTCTACATACTCTTCTCAGGGTTATTGGCATACACACAAACATACTCAGCATGTTCTTCAAGAAGCCAGGACTGGGACTTCAGCTGTCAGTTCTGTCGTGTGGGAATCCAGAGTCTGAACCTCCCCACCACCTGCTGGCCCCTACATTGAATAAAATTGAGTCCTCCTTGATGATGAGTCTATGTTTTACAGTATCTTTGACAATATCATTGTGAATAGCTATAATTTCCTGAGATTTTTAAAATATTAGTTCAAACTACCCAATAGCTATTTAGACTCTAGTGAAGAGAAGTGACATTGTTTATGTTCAATACAAATGTACACTATAGACAAACTGTCATAGATTATTACTTTCTAGTTATCAAGTTCTGAAGTATAAAAAAAACCATGTCCCTGCACCAGTAATGTCATTAACACATATTATGCATTTGATAAGTATTTGTCAAATGTATGAAACAACTGTTGAAAAAAAGAATGAGTCTCTTGATTCATTTATTTATGAAAAAATAATCTCTAGATTATTGAAAGCTGCTTTCCACAATTGCCTATGTATAGTCTTTTTATTTCTAAATTTTCTTTCTTTTGGTATTTTTTTTTCTTTTTTGCTGTAAAGCACATGCACACACCAGAGAGAAACTAAACAAGAGAGATACAGCGAATGTGAAGACCAGACGAGGGCAGGTGGAGGGATGGCCACACTGCAATCCTTTTATGGCTTTGGATTTGGGGCACACGCATACACACATACATGCACCTGGCATGATTTTTCAAACCACCGGGTCTGGGACTGAAACTGCAGTAGGCCATTTGGGATCCAGCACTCTAACGTTCACACCACCTGCTGGCCTCTTGGTTCTTTGTAGTAAGTTATATTCTCTATATTAAGAATTTCCTTCTTACTTGCTATATTTTTTCCATTGGGAAACATGGTCCAATGGATCAGAGAAAACACAAACTTTATTGGTATTTTAATAAGAAATACAAGAGTGTAGTAAATGAATGGGCTGAAAAAGTTGATGTCAAAGGATTATGAGATTTTACATAATTGAAATAAAAGAGAACATAGAAATTTATTTGTTTCTCTTGTGGTAATCAGTGCTTGGCTTCAGTCAAGGTTGATTCTATCTGAGCTGCCTTCTGATTTTATATAGAGTTCTGGGAAGAACGGAGATTCAGAACCAGCAGACCTCAAGAGCCACAAATGGGTTGACATCCTCGTTGGTGGTCTGGTTATACAGTGCATGTTGCCCACTGGTTGACGGTGGAATGTGTGTTTATCAGAGTGGGTTGGTCTCAGATAGACTGTCTTTCCGAAGACTGTGACTGACATGGAGAACTGATTAATAAAGCTAGTGGTCACTGACTGAGTACATGTAAAACTAGGGCCAGGTGGTGTCACAGCAGTAAACGCAGTGCTCTGTGAAGCTAATCCTCAGAGAAGGTGCTGGGTTTGTGTCCAGAGTCCTCCCTGAGTGCCAGGCATTTGCTTGTCCATGGTGTGGAATTGGGTGAGGCTAGAATTCAGTTTCAGCATCAGAACCTTATTGGGGCTGCAGCCTCTGTCTTTGTCTTTCTCTATTAAAAATTAAATAAATGTGGGGCCAGCAGTTAGCATAATGGCTATGTTGCTGAACTCCCATGTAGCTGACCGTGGTTCCAGTCCCAGACCTGGTGGCTTAAACTCACGTCAGGCGCGTGTGCGTGCGTGCCCAAGATTCTGAGAGGAGACGGGATTGTGGCATGGCCAACCCCCACTGGGAAGTGATTTCTTGCTTTCTATCTCTCTGTCTCTTTGTCTTTCTGGTGAGCACACATGCCCTATAGCAAAATCCTCTCAAAAAATTTTGAATAAATGAATAAAAATTTAAAATGTGTTCTTGTGGCTGTATGACCAGGACTGTGGATCAGTCCATTCCTAACCTTGAGATGACTTTGACCAGATGCCTTCTGTCTAGATGTTGCCCTTGGTCCACCTGGTGGCATAGTAGTTATGGTGTCTTCATCCCATAAGGTCGACTACATGGTTCAAGTTCCCGACCTCACAGCTAGAGAGACACACTGGGCACTTGCATGTTGGTGCCTAAGATCCTGAGGAGAGAAAGAGAATGGAAAAGGGCTTGCAGTGTAGCCATCCCCTCAGGGGATCTCTCCCTCTCTCTCCCTCTCTCCCTCCTCTTCCAAGCACCAGAAGCCAATAGCTAATGAAAAACTAAAATAATGTGTTGCCATTCATCTCTCAAGTATGTTTGAAGTGAAAAGCTGTTTTTTATTCTTAAACTGTAGACTTATTTTTTGCAGCTTAAAGTTTAGGTTGAAAAGAATTGCATAATGATGTCTGTCTGGATCATTTCTTCTTTTTCTTTATGCTTAGTCTTAACTGGATTTATTTACATCACTTTTATTTTATAGGTAATTGTTATTTTTATTTTGTTTTTGGTAGTTTTATGAGCTTATACTCAACTCCTAATGTAATAAACTCTAGTGAGAAATTTCAATCTTTCCTTAAAACTTATGTAGGGATATAATAGTGTTGTTCTTAGGATCTGCAGGTTGTGTAATGGTTACATTGTTAGACTCGCACATAACCAACCGTGGTTAAATTCCCAGACCAACTGCTCTAAATTCACGCCAAACACTTGAGTATGTGGGCCCAAATCCAGAGATGAGAATGGAGGAGAAGGGATTGTGCAATGGTCAAACCCCCTGAGGGTTATTTCATACTTTGTATCTCTGTCTCTCTGGCTAGTACATGCCCTCTATAGTAAAAATGTCCCTTAAGAAAATACGATGTTCTGGGACCAGCAGTTAGCGTAATGGCTGTGTCACTGGACTCGCATGTAGTCGACCACGGTTTGCATCCCAGACCCGGTGGCTTAAAACTCATGCCAGCTGCGTGTGCGTGCGTGCCCAAGATCCCGAGAGGAGAATGGAGGAGAAGGGATTTCGGCATGGCCATTCCCCCTTGGGGGGTGATTTCTCGCTTTCTATCTCTCTGTCTCTCTCTCTGTCTGGCGAGCACACGCACGCTATAGCAAAAACCTCTTAAAAAAAAAAAGAAAATATGATGTTCTTACATATGCTGTTTACTGCATAAAAAAGTAAAGACAATTCTTTACTAATATTAGAATTAGGTATAAGGCTAAACATAAACAAAACTTTTGTAGTCATTTTATTTTTAAACAAAATCATAACTAACCAGACTGTAGGTTTAGAATGATATAAAGTAACAGTTTGTTATTGTAAAATAGGTTTCCTCTAAGCCTCAGTATTTCCATAGTGTCTTCTATATGTTATATGTCCCACATGGTATGTTAAAAAAAAACCTTATTAAAATTAAACACTATCATATATGTAAATAATACTGAAAGTGATAGAATTCATTTATAGTGCATCCAAGTCTTCACAGGTGTTCCTGTTGGGGGTGAGCTCCTTGTTCTAGAATAACATTGCCCTGTAGTGTGTCAGTCATCTTCAATACTTGGTTTTCTGCATGCTATACTTTCCTTTCAAAATCTTATGGACGGGAACCAGCAGTTAGCGTAATGGCTATGTCGCTGGACTCCCACGTAGTCGACCGCGGTTCGTGTCCCGGACCCGGTGGCTTAAAACTCACGCCGGGCGCGTGTGCGTGCCTGCCCAAGATCCCGAGAGGAGAATGGAGGAGAAGGGAT